GGCTTGGAGGTGGATCCCGGATGCTGGGAACTGGAGTAGCATCAAGAACAACATGAGTGGGGTCTCCCCCTGGTGCTGATGACCACACCAAGGAGGTCGCCAGGGCACCCTGAGGCTTTGAAAGTGCATTTAACAATGTGTTAGGATGGAAAACCATCTGTTTCCTCACCTCTCCTGTCCACTTCTGGTGGACTACCTCATATAAATGGACCACTGGGATGAGGGGTTAAGACCAGGAATAACCCAGGAAGAGCAGATATGCCCAGAACATAGCTGCCAGTGTCCTGCCTGTTATATATGCGCATGTGGGGGCTCTTGGTCCTTTTGGGTGAGAGACTTCCTGATGAGTCCCTCCCTAAGGGTGGGAAGGGTTCCTCATATCTTGCCTGGCAGGGAGGGAACAGCAAAGTGGTTAAGGACATGGGCTTTTTAGTTACAGACCTGGGTTTCAGTCCCAGCACTGCTGTGACCTTGAGCCAATTCTGGAAGCCTTCCAAGTCTCATTTCCCTACCTCATAAGATGAAGCTAGTAACAGTTCCAATTTCATAGGGTTATTGTTGAGATTAAATGAACTAATACAGGTAACAAGCTCAGCCCAGCAGCTAGCGCAGAGTAAGTGCATGATAAATATTAAGGGACTTCTGTGATTAGCTGTTACTATTATGGTTTATTTTACCTGGCAGATCTGTTAGCTTTAGCATGCCACTGTTCTGTGTGAGAGGGGAAGAGGGAACAGGTTGGAGATTCTATTTCAAGGTCTGGATTCACTCGTTTTCTACATATGTTCCTCATGTATCTGTTTCCATCGTTTAAGAAAAAGAGAGTGATTACTCTGATTGAACTGCTGAGTGTTGGAGTTGGAAGGCACTGCAGGCTGTATAGTTCAAATTCTCCACAGCACACCAGAGAGAAATTAGGTTGCCTTCAATTATAAACTCAGATGACAGAAGCAGGTACTTACCTGGGGTTTAGAAATGAATATCTGAATTAGATTCTTATGGTCAAGAATGTCCTCTTCCAGGACCCTTGGGACACAGGACCCAGTCAATGCTATGGGAGAGTTTCAGTGCTGGGCTCTGGCCTGCCTTTGCTGAACTGCTAGCTCCCCCAAAATGTGTGATGGTGCTGCAGGCCTCAGCCCAGAATGGAAATCAGTATGTCATCGCCCTTCCTCTAGCTTCGTCTTTATGAATACGTTTTACCGGATCAGAATCAGAGCCCACTCATTTGTTTACCTATTGTCTAGGGCTAATCCTAGGCTGCACCTCCCTGGCCCCTTTCAGAAACAGGGTGTCTCTCTAGGAGGCCTTTCCCTTGCTCGTCCTCCTTTCTCCTCCCTAAAGCAGAGACCCGCTGTGCTTTACTTCCGAGACTACCCTGTCCTGGAGGTCTTCCTGATTCTTGTCACCAGCATGAGTAAGCCCTCACACCCCAGCAGACCTGAGCTCTTAACATCTCATTGCCTTTGTGTCCAACTCATTGAACTGTGAACTCTTGGAGGGCAGGGCGCACTTTTCCACTTCTATGGATGCTTCCACATTTGAAGTAAAGGAATGAATGAATACGTGTTAATAATTCATCAAGCATATACAATGCACACCCTCTAATGAAATTAATTCTGAGAAAAGAATAATCACGTTACCATCTGATGGTCTTTGAGAAGGAAGAGTTCTTTCTTGTCCCTGACTCTGCAGCATTCACACATTCCTGAGGTACAGGGCCATCTTTGTTTCTCTGAATTCCCCACTGTAGGTTTATTTAGCCAGTGTTGTCCCTGGCAGGCTGATCAAGCACCCTAGAATGTCGAGGTTTCTTACAGACTGTGCAGGGGGAGGCGGGGTGGGCAGCTGTGCCGAGTCAGTGTCAGTTCCATCTATTTTGCTGGCCCCAGTCTCCAGAAGAGGCATCAAAAGAAAATGCCTGTCCTGAATATGCTGCCAGGGAGAGACTTCAGTCTGCTTTGGGGTAACTATCACCGTAGAGACCTGAGATCCACAGGCTGCCATTTAGGGGGAGTTGCTCTGAGAGGTGGAGTTTGATGTGAATTAGGCTAGATGGGGTGTTATGAGTGAAGAGAGGCTAGAAAAAGATTTGGATCCCAAATGAATTTCCTAAGCCAAATTTAGCTTCACTAACATCCTATCTTGGAAAAGCTGGTGTCTCTTAGGTATCTGACCTGGATTATAACCTTATGGGTGAAGAAAGGGAAACAGATCGTGGTAGAGGGGACCCCAGTGAGAGGGGGCAGTGGCAGGAGCCCTGAGGCACAATCATGCCACTACTCTTTGCAACTTGTCTCTGGCTTCCATCCAGGTAGCTGGTTCTCCAAAACCAGCAACAAAATCGGGTAAGAAGAACAAAAGGTAGCAAGTGGTATCCATCTGTTGGACTGAAAAACTACTTGCCTGGGTTTCCCTGCTCCTCTGAAATGAACCACTAACAAAAGAATACAGAAAATAGAAACAGAAGCTTCTCTTGTCCTTGTCTCTCTGACAGTATGATTAGTTGTGTTGGTTTCTACACATTGACCATTATTGCTTTAACACCATGGAGTGGAATTTGCAGGATTCCCATATAGTGCTTAGAAGCAATCACAGGCCTGGATGGATGGGAAGAAACTACACTTCCCAGGACCTGAAGCAGCAGGCAGCAAGACAGCCAGCAGCGGGACACAACACAGGCAGCCAACAATTGTTCCGCAGACGTTTCTCTGTGAGTCCACAGAGATTCTTCTGCTTTACATGTTCCTCAGTGAAGGGACTCCTTTGGAAGGCATGGGAGATAATCCACTGGCAACAACAGCAGAATCTTTTTATTTAGAAGTGGGCCTTTACAGGAGCAGTGTGGACTGGGTGGCTGCCCTTCTGTGGGACGTTTGCTATGAGTCAGTTTTCCAAAAGAAGGGCTGGGAAATCTTGCTATATGTGAGGGGAAGCTTTTAGCCATTATTGGACACAAGAAGGTAGAGCCAGGATCTGGATGAGTGGATGCCACTTAACCAAACTTTAAAAATCATCACTAGAGTAAAGTGGAGGAAGACAAGTAATTTTTATGGAAAGAAACACCCCTTCTGATGTGGAAGGCATTAGTAAGACTGTCAAACAATTCCTTGGAAGCTCCTGGCTTCCTCTTGTTACTTTGCCTGTTGAGCACTACTTCCTGAGGAGGGCTGTGAGAAGAGGATTCTCTTGCCCCTTCGTAAGCTGTGAGGGAAGCCAGCATGCTGTGGTCTTCAGCCATGTTGGTGTCCACAGGTAGCCTGGAGCCTCATAGCCTTCATCAGTGAAGGTAGGAAAAGAGGAGAAAGTTATAGGTCTTCCTACAGTGCACAGCCTCAACTGAAGGAGACAGAAAATCCTGTCCCCTGTAGAGATGCTGTTACCAATGTGTTCACTTCATATGGGGAACGTAATTTTGGTAGAAGAAATCCAGCCAACTCCCTTGGTCCCTGTCTAGGAGTTATGCAGAGATGTTTTCATCCATCCTGAGGCTGGTTCTACCAAGATGGTGAAGCAGTGGAGGAAGAGGGAGAGAACTCTAGTATTCACTTTCTAGGTTTATTCCATTCCTTACATTTTTGCATTCTGTTAAACCTTAGGGAGATCTTACCAGGATACCTTTTCACTCAAAACACCACTCAAACCAAAGGGATGACCAAGGGGCTGGGTGGAGTCATGGAAGTACAACAGTTCTTTACAGCACAAGGTAAATAAAAACTACACTGAGCTCCCCGATCTGTAATATATGAGAGAAATTAAAAATTTAAAAGGTGACATAATGCACACAAAAACAATCTTGCTGTAGGGGATTTTAACTTTATATTCAATTGTTGATAAAATGGACCCTCTAGGGTTGTTTTCCTAACATCTTTTCTTAAAATTTAAGGGCAAAAAATCCAAGATGCAAAGAGATAAAAAATCTTTTTTAAATAAAAGCAAATAGTGCCAAGAAACAAACATAGGTCTTAGGGTCTCTGTGTGTGCACTGAGTTTGGAGACATACACAATGGTACAGAAGAGGGCGGTAATTTACTCTTCGTATATTTTCAAAATAAAGCCAAATCAAAACCTGTTTAGAATATGACCAAAGCCTTAGGAGTGACAAAGTCCCCATATTTTCTGGACTGATTAGAGAACTGTCCTCCTCTTTTACTAGTTAAGGTACTGATGGAGCTCTCCATGGTCATGAACAGGAACAGCTAACACTGGCAGATGGAAGGTCTGCCTGATCACTCTTGGCCCTTCACTGAACTCTCTTCTGGTCACCCCTGCTCGATGCTTTCTCTATTTATGGGCTGTCACTCAGATCTTCCCATTCACAGTGCTTGTTAAAAACTCGGCACACCACCACTCTTTCACCCTTTTCTTCTTTGATTCTTTTGTTACCCTCTGGGCAAACTGCAGTGAAAAGCAAACCAACCAACGAAACTTTGTGGTCTTTCCCACAACCAGGCATGTGGTATCAAGGAAGGTCAACAAAGGAGGGCAAAGTGTAAGTGAACGGGGCCCTGTGTGTGTGTGTGTGTGTGTGTGTGTGTATACACTCACCTACTCTCTGTCATCTTATGGACATAGCCAAAGAGGTTTAGTGTGGTGCTTCAACATGGGATTTTTGTCCCAAATAACGACAGGGTCATTCTGAGATTCAGCCACTTTCAAAACACACACAAAGCCCTCTTAGTTCAAGGTTGACCCTGGAACCATTATTGATATTTTCATGCACTGGACATGTGATTGCTCCTTGAAGCTTGTGGGTCTATTCATTATCACAGCCTGCTCAACAGCTTGTACTAGGGAACTGCACTTTCTCTCTCTCTTGTCCCCAGAAGCATTGCACCCATGCACACAAACCCACATCTAAGGCATCTCCTCCACAGGCAGAAAAGAACGCTTCCTGGAATGCAAAGCATGAATATAAAAGGGCTTCCCATGACAGTGATCACTGAATCATGGGGAATAGAGCCAGAAGGTAAATTTGCAATTCATCACATTATCCCCCGTTGTTTCAAATGTGGTTCTTTTAAAGGCAGGGTGCATATACACATTCTTTGTGAAGCATTTCTTTCTTCTTGTAACACATTGAATACTATTATTGCAGAATATCCAAATGAGGATAAAATGATAAAAATTACAATAGATTAATTGCATCCCTTGGATCACATTATATTTTTGGTGCATTAAAAAAGAGAAAAGTAAAAGCAACCAGCATAATAAATCCGGTCTATAGAACTGTGTTAGTGACTGAAGGGTTAACACAGATTTTAGTAGTAGTTAAAAATAGGAATTAGAGGATTATACATACAACAGTTTGAAGTTCATATGCATTGTATTTTGAAAAAATGGCAAAATGTTTGGCAAATGTAAGCAAATGACTTGGACTTGGGGCTCACCGGCTCTGAGCAGGTCAGTCATAGCCAGGCGAGGTCCACAGCTTCCTGAGGTCACTCTGTGGGGCTGGGGGAGATGGCCTTTGCCACTATGAGGTGCTCCCAGGGGAAGGTGCTGCCCCCTGCCCAGCTCCCCCTTGGGCCTTCAGTCTTGAACATGGAAATGGTGCTGGTGACGGGTACTGATTACAGACTCCAGCTCGGATCACCCATTAGCATCACTGAGAGAACTCTAGGGCCTGGAACCACATGCAGACTGGGTGAGTTGTCTACACGGTGACCCATATTGCGAAAGGTAGAGGAGCAGGGCATCCACCCCTCCGACTTATGTGCCTCCCCACCCAGGCATGGAGGGAGAGGGTGGCACGGGGGTGTATCACTAGTGCTGAATCTGGCAATGTTTTCAACTCGACCTTGTGTGTTTTTAGTAGACTTTTGTTTCCTGTAATATTTCTGTTTCGTGTGTGTGTGTGTGTGTGTGTATGTATCCAGAAACGTCCATCCACCAAGTTGGCCATCACTGGGCCCTGAATTTGGCAGTGCCTGTTGCTTGCAGCGGTCAGCATCCCAAAGACCATGAGGTGCTTTCAAAGCCAACTCTGAGCCCCAGCAGTGCGAGCGCCCTCCAGGATGATCCCATTCTTTCCTTATTCTGAATCCTGCCTGGCTCTGATTTTGAGCAAAAGGAAAAAAGCTGCGTGTGTGTGTGTGTGTGTGTGTGTTTGTGTGTATGTGTGCGCGCGGACACATGTATGTCTGTATGTTGAATGTTTTGGGGAAACCTTTTTTTTCCTTTTCTTTTTTTTTTTAAGAAAATGACCCTTTGATGACTAGGACAGAGTTCAGCCCTCCTTGTGTCACTATAAAACGGATTCCATGTTTTCACACCACTCATGGTCTTCCAGGTTGTAGATAAATTTTGTCCTATGTGTCTGGTGTGCGGGGACAGGGTCCCTCCCCAGATTGTCTAGGGTCAAAGTAGAGGCAAAGAACTCACTGGTGCTCAGCCCACCCTCGTGGTTTTTGATGTAGCGTTTATAGTTCTTCCTCAGGCACTGCCACGTGGTGGTGTAGAGAATGAAGGCGAAGGACTTGAGTGCGATGGCGATACTGACGTACAGGTATCTGTAGACCACGTTGTCATAGAGGGCGCAGGCCCCCTGCTCCCCACAGAATGTGCTCCAGAAGAGACAGGTGGAGTCGATGCCGGCCCCGAAGATGAGGGGTGGGGGAATGAAGCCTGTGAGAGAGGAGAAAGGAAAAGACTGTTCATGGCTCTGGTGGCGGGTTCTAGGCAGAGGCTGGCTCCCCTGTTCTTGGCTGTGCGAATCTTCTCTCTTTATGGGACCACTGGGAAGGAACGTTAGACCTGGTGGCTCTATCACTCAGTATGCAGAGCCAAATGGCGTGAGTTCAAATCCCAGCTCTGCCTAGACAATTACAAGCCCTCTGTGCCTCTTTCTCCTTACACAAAATGATGATATAAATAATGCAGCTTTTATGGAGCACCATAAAGACAATTAATTCATGAAAGGTATTTAGTATGGCATGTACTGTGCCCCGTGTACAGTGAATACTAAGTGCTGGCTGCTGTTATCAAATGTAAAGTCTGAGAAGGCACCGTGCACTCTGCATTGTTCTCTGGCCTGGGCACTCAGGGGTGTGTGCATTTCTGGATGGAGGGATCAGAAGGGACATTATACTGTGTGTATCTGGACACACAGTGTTTCAAAGGAGACACATGTGCGTACACAATGGCAACTTCCCTTCCCCTAAAAATTACACGGGATGAGAATACTTTCTATCCTGAGCTGGGAACCAGATTTAAGACCTTCACAACAGAGCATTTCAGACACCTATACCTTATCAGCAGAAATAGGAGGTGAGAGCTGTTCCCCATCATTAATTCAGTTCCACGTTGCTCTGTGTTTCTCTGCAAGGGTTACTAGTCCCACTGCATGTTAGAATCATCCCAGACCAACAAAACCCGAGTGTTTGGATTGCAGCTCAGTCATCTATAAAACACTCCTACGTGATTCTGGCTGCTAAGGGGTGGGAGAAATTCTTATGTGTACTACGGGAAAAAAATGGATTAGTCCATTAATACCAATTTTTGATTCCAGAAAAATGATGTTTCCCCCAGACACCAGACTATGTTGTTGGTCACCTTCAGTGAGAGAGCTCAGAAGTGAGACATGTTGTGGCAACCAGGTAAGAACAACTCTTGAGACCCCATGGCTACTGTACCACTCTCAGGGCCAGGCTCGGATTGTCTAGTTTGACTTTTTATTAAGGTAGGTGCCCCTGAGAATTTGTTGAGATGTAGAAGCTTAGTCCAGAAAACTGCATCTACTCACAAAATCAAAGCAAATGCATGTTCTTTGGGATTGTAGACCCCTCAAGTCTGTCCATCACGCCCAGAAGACCTGCACTGCAGCTGCTCTGTGGCCGGGGTGGTGAGGTGCTGGAGGAAGGCACAGTGCTTCCTTTGTTCACTGAGCCCTGGAATGCACCCAGTGGGTCTGCATCATCCTCTCAGTTTTAAAGGAGCTGAGAGAACCCTGGCTCCTAGGTCAGGTGCCTCAGCATTCCTCCTTAGAATTCTCCAACGCCATCATTTGTTACCCCTAAGAGAACCACCCCCCCATGACTTCTAGGTGCAAACCTCATTAAACTTCCCAAGCAGCCTGATTTCATAAATAAACTCTAAGCTCAAAATCCCGTACAAGCTGCTCCCTCTTTCTGGTTCAGGCCTTGCAGAATGGAAACTCTTGTGCAATATTCCCTGTGGTCCTGAGGCTGCTCAGGAGTTGGAGGCCTTTCCTGAGACTGTGTGTGTGTTCTTCCTGCTTCCTAACCAATGCCTTTCTTCATTTCGTGGAAAAAGAGCCAAGTGGAGGAACTGCCATGGCAACTGCATAATAGAAACTAATACTCCATCTAGGTAAAGAAAAAAGCGGAGCCAGTGTAAATTACAGAAAAATCCTGTGGATATATGGGACTAATCTGGCTTGTCCCTGAGGCACAATGGGATGAGGCAAATCCATTCACCTTTCTATTTTGCTGAGCTTTATTTTGTTGGGATTAGTTCACAAATGCTCTTTCTTCCTCTTCCTTCTGGATTCCCTGTCCTAGTGACCCAGCACTGAGCCCTGAGGAGCTAGGACTATAGAGGACACTTTAGTGGACTCCCTGCCATGGGAAAGAACTGACAGTTGGGTACTCCCTGCTCCTCCGTGCGTGAGTTCCTGGGCATATGCAGGTTTGGCAAATTAGATCTTAGTTTAAGCACATCAAGGCAAATTCAGAATATCAAGGAGCCATTTGCTGACATTTGGTGGAGGCAAAATATCCTTCTAAAATGCCCAAATGTACTTCCTTATGTACCTGCACCCGAGTGAGAATTTTTATAACATTCAGTTGCCTTTACAATAGACCACTGTATATGAAACATGTCAATTCCACACAGTGTATTGTTAAGCTCCACTACCAGAAGGCAAAGCCTTGGGAAGAACTAGAAAAAGCCTTCATGTACTATAGTTATTTTAGAAGCAATTCGGGGTGGGGATGAAAGAATTTTTTATTCAAGGAGACCAAAACTCTGGAATAAGTCTATTGATCAATCAGTGCCTCAGTTTCTTCAACATGGAGCTAACTACCACCTGCTTGGTCAAGGTTAATGAAAATACCACACAAACAAGGTATGTAAGTGTTCTGCAGGGCCCTTACCCTTCTATGTGCCCAGGTCTTTTGCTAACTTATTCACATTATCCAGGGGATTTAGGGTGACATTTTAGAATAAACTCTAGGTGAATACCTGAAGTATAATCTTTATGAGATTCCTTTTATATTTCTGGATAAAGTATTGGCTTTCTTTTCTGCCAAATTCATCATCTCCGTTTTATTGACTTACAATTCTTTCCCAAAGGAGAGCTCTAGCTATCTAGCAGGCTCTAAATTCTAGATGCGCTGGAAATACGAAAGATGAGGATCTGACTGGATGATTCTCATTAGAAGCCTCTGCTATTCTGGAACTCACCTGATTAGTCACGGAAGGGAGCCCCATGCTCCTAATTTTCACACCCAGCCACTCATCATCACATGTTTATCACTCAGTGGGACTAAATAAAAGCCCAACCCGTCCCTGCAAGAAGCTAGTTCTCCAGAGAAGTCGCCAGTGGGAGGCTTGTGCCTTACAACCATGTAATAATTAGGCAATTAGCCCACCCCACCCCTGAACTGTATAGTGTTCTACATGCACTAAGAATTCTCTCCACAGTCGCCTATTCTTCCCTTTATTATACATATAAAGAGACTGGGAATGGGGATATTATTTGTCCCAGGCTTGATAGATCAAAACTCAAACCTTATAATTCCGCTTCATTCTAATTCAAAGTTTGTTGACTGGAGAAGATTTTAGAGTTCTTATCGGGGATTTCCAGGGCTACAGAAAACATTTTATTTACCTTTCTGCTAAGGTTGTAGAAGCCCGGTTTTGAAGCAGGAAGGGAGCAAAGCAAGCAGGAGTTCTGATCTTTGGGAAGCAGGAGCCCTTCTTCAGGGCTGACAAGCAGGCTGGGAGCCTTATTTTGTAAACAAGCTCCCTGGGTATCTGGCAGAGAGCCTCTGGCGATATGGGCAGATACTTGTCAGCAGGAAGAGACAGGAGTTGTCACTTGTCCTTGTCACCCCTTTTGCAGCCAGGGAGCTTACATCTGGGGGTTGCTTGTGATCAGGAAATGGGAACTTTACAACCAGAGACAACTGACACTGTCTTCTGATTCCAACCCTGTGCCCTGGAAACTCTGAACCCTGGGTAAGTTATACAACTTTCCTGAATCTCAGTCTCATTGTTCATAAAATGGGCACAATCATACTTTCCTGAAGAATTTCTGCAAGGATTAACTGAGATGTCATTTGTGGAGAGCTCTCAATCTGGTTCCCAAGCCCCTTTGCTAAGTGAAAATCTGTCTTCCTTGAAATCTTCACCTCCACAGGGGCAGTTCTGTGTGGCAAGAAACCCTTCAAGCCAACATTTAGTGAATAATGCCAACTGGCAAGAGTCCTCCAGGTCTTAAAAGCGAGTCCACTTTGGAGGATAATCAGAGGCTTCTGGAAGGAAGGCCAAGTGCATAAGATGTACTTTAGTGTTTCTTCTTGCTTTGAGTATCCTCACTCTGTCATGCTCTTGCTTACCGAAGAAGAGAGGTCATGATGGTGTAGTGTTTCCTTAGAAATAGTATGTTTTGGAGGAATGCTCTCCTCCCTGGCATTTGCAAAGTGAACTTTCTCCCTTTGTTCTTTTCTTGTGTGGCTCTTGGGAGGGGAATTTTGTGGACAAAGCAGACAGTAGTAAAGCCCCATTAGGGAGGGCACTGGGAGCCCACACTGTGTTAGAAGGATTTGTGCAGACCCAATGCATGGGTCTCCCTGCTATTACAAAGAATATTAAAATGATTAAACCTCTCTTCTTCTTATACTCTGGCTCCAATTACCGCTATATATGCATTTCGGTGAAAAAATTGTTGCACTGTTTAAAGAAATTGTCTGTTTTCCTGAAGTCTATTAACAAAGATTAAACCTCAGGGCCCTGTAATCTCTGGTATTTAATTCACTCCCATGGTTGAAAAGGCAGGGCCTATTTATATTCTCTGGTCTAAATTTAAAAGGCTTTTGTAAGAAAAATAAATCCATATTCCTTTATGGGACAAAATGGCTGCTCCATTTCCATTTACAAAGATGACCACTGTTCTCCAGCCTACCTGCCAAGATTTGAATTCACCGTGGAACCCCTATTCAAGCTGGTGGAATGACTGTTCTGTCCAGCACCAGCTAGAGAGGGGTGAAAGGTATATTCTCATGAAAAGATTAATGGGTCTCTCTGCTTCGGTGATGCCAGAAAAGAGATTGGCCTGTTGATATCAGCAAGCATCTTCTGGGCACACCTGACATTTATTTGTCTTAAATCTGAGCAATCAGGAGGAGCTGCTCTGCTCTCATTTCACTCCTGGGCCCCTTGTTAAAGTCACAAAGACCTCAGAGCTTAAATAGGCTGCCAAAGATCACCTAGACAGTGATGGCGAACCTATGGCACGTGTGCTGCAGCTGGCTGTTTGCTATCACTGAAAGCTCTAAACAGTTCACCATTAGTGATGGCAGAACTGGGTTTAAATCCCCAGTTGTGCCTGGCTGCAGAGGGGTCTATGTCAATGTGTGCTATTACATTAGCACGAGAAGGGGAGCATATCTTGGGTAATGCAGAACATCAGGAGGTGCTAGGAGGTGCCTGGTGCGGACCTGGTGACCAACACATGTTGGCTGATTAAACAGTTAAGTGTGTAGGTGAATGAAAGAGGTGTTCTCTGCATCCTGACATTGTCGCCTGTTTCCTTCCACCTCACTTGGGGTCTGGGACTCTGTGCTTTCTTCTCCCAAAGTACTGATGAATGTGTTCATTTCTATACTTGCCTTTGAGATTCTTTCTATTCAAGACTATGGGCACAGTGGGAGCTCAACAGAGCTTTGATGAACCATATCAGGGTTTCTAAAATGTGCTTCTGTAGAGTAATTCACAAATCAAGGCAAAACCTTCAGACTTTCTGCTCAGGAAGGACATCTGCATATGAAGATGTACCTTGAGCATGACCTTCCCAGTGCTTCTTGTTTGGCAGGTTTCTCTGGAAAACTAAGCAGGCATCTGTGGGTGGGGACTCTGTAGAGAGACCCAGCCCACTCCTCTCCTCTCCCTGTCTGCAGACACTTGCCAATTGCATCTGTTAGCTATTCAAGGCTTTCCTGCAGGCCCAGTCACAGGGCTCAAGCACAGAACCCCAGCTGAGCCTTGGTGGCTTCTCTTTTGCTTTCCTCTAGTCAGCCAGGGTGAGGGGCGGTGGTTCAATGGCATTGGCTTCACCCCATGGCTCCCAGTGCTCTTTGCCTTTCAGACCCACTGCTTCGCCCTGCTCAGCTGGGCATCTTCACTCCTCCATGTTTTTGATTAGTCATCCTACATCCTGCCAAACCACCTTGCTCCCGGCTGATCTCGCTAATCAGAATTCTGAATGTCTATCTATACTTCCATCTAAAAACCCTCATTGGCTCTACAGTGACAGCTATTCATCGGAGTGACACCTTTTCCCTTGAAATTCAACATCCTCTAACACATCTAACCCTATTTTTTTCCCTAAACCTGCTTCTCTTACTGGAGGCCCTGAAGGCAGAATGCTGGCCCCCGCTATTTTCACATTCTTTGGAGCATCCAGGCAGTGTCTGAGAGATGGAAGGATCTCAGCGAATGTTTGTTTTTCATTAACTTAACTTGACATATCTGTGGCATCTGGTATACCTCAAGAACAAGGTGCGGTCTCCTCCCATTTTTCGTTTTGCAGTGCTGGAGATCAAACCCAGAGCCTCACATATGGTAGGCATGTGCTCTACTGCTAAGCTATATCCCCCAGACAGTCTTATCAAGGTGGCCTTGAACTTGGGCTTTCCTGCCTCCCTAGTAAGTAACTGGGAGGTTTGCACCACCACACCGGGCTGCAGGAGCAAGACTCCTGATCAGACCCAGGAGCACACGGTTGGCCTGAATCCCAGAGAGAAAAGCACAAGGACACTTGCAATAGGATGAAAGAGGAGGAACTTGATTACACCAGGAATTCTGCTATGGATAGATTGTTCAGTTCTTTTTGAATTTACTGAGCCTTCTTCTGCTCAGTGGCCACCTCCAGTATTCAAGCTCAGCCACTGTCCTGGATGACATGGACTTGTCCATGGACATGTGACGCCACACCTAGGGAATCTATCATCTCTCCAAAGTGCCCTGCAATCTCAACACCAGACATCAAAGCTTTGGCTATAGCTTCCAGTTCTTTCCCATATTTGCTACAATTAGTTCTTATACTTCCTTTATCTTTTTATCCTTTCTACTTCCTCTTCCCCATCCACCCAGGCACCATGCTTAGTTACTTCAGCCTCACCAGGACAATCATCTTCAATTTCTTTGCCCTGCTCTCCTACTATGGATACTCCCAGTCGTGTGCCTACTTCTCCTCCAGGGCTACCAGGGAAGCTCTCAGGCTGCTGATCAGTGCTGCTGTAGGCCCTGCCCTTTCTACCACCTTCTTTCTACCATTGTTGCATTCACTTCTAGGTCAGGCCCTCTTTCCATACATTTTCCTTGGCCAAGTTGCTATCCCCTACTTCCTCTTGCCCTGACCCATCCAGATGGTGCATCAAGGTCTGTCTCCCACCTCCAATTCCTGCCTGGTCCATACAGTAGTACTGTCTGGGTTAGGCTACTTAAAATGATACAAATTAAATAAATTGAGTTTACATAAATCTTGTTTCAAGTGCTTATAGGGCATGTGTGGTACAGTTGTAGAACATTCCATCACAAAGTTCTATTGAACAGCACTTGTATATGCTATTCTCAACCTGCTGCTCATCTCCTTTGTCTCAGTAGTTCATTATTCCCCCATTCACTGTGTGATCCAAGCCCATGATCCTGGGATCTGGGTGTTCTCTCCCAGATACCCCAGTACTCATACAACTGTTCTTTGATATTCAAGCGGGATTGGTTCCAGGACCCCCAGTGACACCAGAATCTGTGGCTGCTCCAGTGCCTTATGTAAATGGCACAGTATTTGCACAAAGCCTACATCCTCCTCCTATAGATGTTCAATCATGTCTGGATTACCTGTGACATCTAGTACAGTGTTAATGCTACTGACGTAGTCATTATACGGTATTGTTTACATAACAATAGAAAGAAAAGTGTGTTCGGTACCGATGCAATTTTAAAAAATAAGGTGAATCTGGGGATGAGGAACTGCAGCTACAGAGGGCTGACTACTTCCATTCAGGAAGTGAATCTCAGAGGGGCTCCTCATCTATATTCTTCAACTCCACCCCCCTCTCTCCACCTCAGCAGCCCCATTACAGCACAAGCCACCCCCAGCTGGTCCATTACCCCAGCGGCTTATCATGCACTGGGCAGACAGGACCCTTTCTAGAACACACGTGGATCTTCTCATTCTCTTGGCAAACCCAACAACTGCTTGCATTTGCCATAGATGTAAAGGTCAAATTCAGCAGGACAGAAGTCCTTTCTCCTCAAGTCCCTAATTTACTGCTTTCTGCAGCCATCAGACCTTCCTCAGCCTTTGCTCAGGCCCAGGAATTTATCCTTGTAAGTCTCTCTGCTTAAAGCACTCTCCCCCTCCTTCCGATCATCCGTAATAACTCTTGGTCATTCTCTAGGTCTTAGCGTAGGTATCACCACACATTTCCAAACTCACTGCCTGCATCCTGAGGCACTTAGGTGGTCTTCCCACATGTGCCTGTTGTCCTGGTGTTGGCTCCATCATGGATCTTATCACCCTCAACTGTGATGTCCCCATTGTATCCCCATTACCCATGTGGGGCCAGAATGAAGGTTGGCAGTGTCATGGAATCTGATTTATTGTTTGGCCTTTCATTGACACTGATGGTGGTTAATCTTATTGGGTGGCGCAAGAAATGAAGTTGGGCCAAATTCCAGGGTTTTTTGTTTTGTTTTGTTTTTGCTAAGCCGCTTTTAATTATAAGGTGAAACTTTGTCATATCCTTCTAAAAGCAGGGTTTCCAAACTGATTTGTGACCTATAATGAGCAATAAGATCAATATGGTGGGTCATGACTAATTTTTTCTTACAGTGAGCACTAGAATAGCATAGAAAATACCAGAATGTATCGCACATAGTAAGGTATTTTTCATGTAATTTGTTTCAGCTGTACCTATGCCTATGCACGTGTGCAGTTGGCCATGATACAAGACTGACTACCTCTAGCTCTGGGTCCCAGTTGCAGAAATTGAAGAACCCTGGCTGATTATACCTGGGGCAGATGCACATATCGATTGCTTTAGAGAAGTACACGATGATCTTAATTGTAACACAGAATACATACCTCGTCATATCCAGTTTTGTCTTCCATTGTCCTATAATTTTCATTAACTTTCAGTAATAGCACAAAATGAAAAAAATGCAACCTATCAAAATTGTTCTGAAGGATGAGTTTTTAAGTTGCCATGTTGGGTCCTTAACGTCTATGGTATTCTAGAGGCACAGAGGCCTCCATGACTCCACAGACCGGGGGATTTTGCTACCATTTTCCCTGCCTGTTCTTGGGAGGACTCTCAAAGGCAAGGCTGATGTCACTTACCTGGATGACTTAGAATACCATAGGTGCTCAGTAGATGTTAAATGACTGTGTACATGGAAGGGTTCCTAACTGGCTGATATTATATATCCACCTATCCAGCTATCCAAGCATGGAGACAGAGGGACCTGATGATACGGGCATATTCTACCCTTCCAGCGATAAGAGAAAAACCAGCATGATACCTGGTGGGAGAGCTCTGCAAGCTGCTGGAGGTTCCCATAATGGCACCAATGTTTTAATATGAATGAGTGTTGAATCTGCTTCATTTACAGCATTTCTGTCTTCCATGGGGAAAAAAATAAGACCAAGATGACATTTAAGTTTCCACGTGGGTACCGACAGAAACAGATCGATAATGGTAGAGGACCTGAGGCTCTGCCGCAGCTGTGGCTGGAATGCTCACGGGTCATTGCTACAGACAGCAAAGGGAGATGACAGGCATTATGCCATGTGTCACCGTCCCCCAGGAGGACTTTATCTTATTAATGGATTTAAGAGTGAATTTTCTCTTTTCCCATATGTCAATTATATAAGAAATTAACCTTATAAAAGCAAGATATATATTCAAAAATTTAAAGAAATTTAGGAAATATATTTTTCCATATTTACATGTGCCTTAAACATTTCAGTAAAGATCCTATACCACCTTTTTTGGGTTTTTTTGGTACCGGGGATCGAACTTGGGTCCTTGCACTTGCGAGGCAGGCGGCGCAACCACTGAGCTAAATCCCCAGCCACTTATACCACCTTTTTCTCCCCTCTGACATGTGCCCTTTCTAAGTCTGTATTTTTTCCCCAAGATTTGAAAAGGGAACATGAATCCCACTGGGATTATAGACCAAAATGGATTTAACTAATTCCATGTTATTGGCTATTTGGGTTGTTGACAAGTTTCCTTCGTTACAAACATTTTCATATGCATTTTTATAGCTAGGTCTCTGAGCTCACTCACGATTGTCTACTCGGAACGGGGAAGTTTATGTTTACCTTGGAAATGTAGGACATGGCTATTTCCCCTTTCTACTTTCACTTTCCATTTGTACAGTTAATATGTGTTAATAACCACAATTACCTTGGCCTTGACAATGGGACAGAATAACAGCAGGGTGGCACCAAGAGTCTGGTCCTCACTGGCTGTGCCAGCTTAACGCCAGGCAATGCCCAGGACCCTGAGTGAATTGTGGACTATCCCTGTCCATTTGTTCATTTTAAAAATGAGGAAGAGCTGAGTGCATGCCTGTACTCGTAGCCTAGCACTTTGGGAGGCTGAGGCAGGAGGATCACAAGTTTGATCCCAGCCTGTGTGAATTACTGAGACCCTGTCTCAAAATAAAGTGCAAAAGCCCCGAGTTCAATCCTCAATACTGCCATAAGTCGAGGGCCAGGGGGGATTAGACTGCATTCTTTCTATCCACACCAAATCTCAGAGTGTGGACTCCACAGCATAAAGGTCATATTTTCATCATGCCAGAACATAATCAGTTTGGAAAAATGTAAAGGACACGGTTGGTTTACATTTGTGAAGTGTTATGAGAACGCCTCTCCCTCCCAGCAGGCGGCCTCATGAAGGAAGCATTTTACAAGATGCCCCTAGGTTGCTTAATAAAGGTGCCAAGTTGCACCATCAATGTTTCCCCCTTTGGTACCATTGCTTTGCTTCCTTATGCTGATGAGAATTGGGGAGGCAGGAAGACAAGAGTTCAGATGCATGACAACTAACTGTGACAGCTGAGCAGTGCCTCAGCTTAGTTCTAAACTGGGAGCAAAATTTTCAAGCTTCAAGTTTCTCTTGCTTACTAATAAACATCATAGAAAAAAACACAGACCCAGGAAATGGGACAACTTCACTCCCATTTACTTACCTGGTAATAAGCTCCAATTGGTTACAGAGGTAACAAAGAGACAATACGTACCCAACAAACGAAGGAGGAGAAAAAGAACTCCGAGGGCGTAAGACTTGAGTTCAGGGCTGACTGTCCTACATAAAGAGATGAAGAAGAAAAAACAAGATTCTTATCACTCTAATTAATAGGCCATAGTCACTCTTTGCTGTCCATCAGAGCCCTTCTTTAGAAAATTACTAATAGTGTTCAGTTTCCTTGCCTAAACTCTAAAAATGACTGCAACTGCAGTGCCAAGATAATTATAGGAATTTGACAGTGTTTTTTAATAACTGGAGCTCATCTTGTCATTTAAAGGACTGAATACAAATTTGGTCACAAAGTGTACATGTGGAGGCAGTTTGCTTTTGTTAAGGGGGAGCATTTTGGATGGGTGGGACACATGCGTGTGGAAAACAGCATCGGGGGATTTGTTCCTAGGCTCGGCACATCTGCCGGAACCATGGACACTTTGGTTACGGCATTTGTGAAATTCATCAGGCTGGCACGTTTTGACAGCCCGATGGCCATTTGGGAAATAATACCTCTACATCAAGTATCGGACCCTTTTTACTTGGAAAGATACCTCTGTATAGTGATGCTTCCTTTTTGCAACTGATTCAATTTCCCTTGCCTAGGTTACCTAACACTCCCTAAGAAGGATCTTCTTTGCTGCAACATTCTCAGAATGTAACATTTTTCTGTTACAAATGCAGAGAGACAGAGTGGGGAGTGATTCTAGATCGATGGGTCCACCCAGCTGGGAACACGGTCTCCTTTGCAATGCCACGTCAACTTGTAACTAGTTTATTCACTGCTCGCCTTCTCACCTGGAGGCCAAGGACTCTTTGCATCTTGTACCATGTGACTTAGCCCTGCTCTGTGCCTAGCACACAGCATGTGCTGAGCAAATGCAGGAGCAGGTGGACGGCCAGACAGATGTCTGTCTCCCACTTACAAACCAGGGAAGCCCTTCCTATGGACAAGTGGTGAACTGTGAAGGGAGACCTATTTGACCACATGCACATTACTTCAGGTCATCTTCAGCGCCACTAGCAGAAAACCTCCCCCTTATCTGTCCCATCGTAAGTCCCTCCGGCAGAAAGTGAGGGAGGCACATGACCATGTCTCTTGAGGGCCTTGAGGCATAGCTGATCCAGTGTGACTGAGCCTTAAGACGCACTGGGGAATATTTCAGTGTGGCTGAAACATCAGAGACCCACACAAGGCAAGGAGGGCCCAGGAATTGGTTCTGGACAAAATAAAGGCTAGGAACCAAGTTACCAACAGGGTATCCAGTACACAGGGTATGGAAGCTGTCAATGGGCTTAGTGGCCAGAATGATGCTCTTAAATGATCCAAGGGGTATCCATCCAATGACCTACCACTTGGTCTGTGGCTTCAGGGTATGACAAGTCAAAAGTGACTGTTAAACCAAAAGAAACTGCATGTGTGCCATAGACTGAATATGCCTTCCCAGAATTCATACATTCAAACCTATCCCTCAAGGGGATGGTGGGGCCTTTAGGAAGTGATTAGGTCTGGAGGGTGGAGCCCTAAAGAACAAGATTAATGTCCTTATAAAAGATGTCCCAAGAAACCCCTTGTCCCTTTTACCATGAGGGGGCCATGGTGAGAATTTGCCATCTATGAACCAGGAAGCAGGGCCTCATCAGATCACCTGCCTGTGCCCTGCCCTGGATTTTCTGGTTTCCAGAATCATGAGAAATACATTTTCATTGTTTACAAGCTACCATGTCTATGGTATTTTGTTACACCAGCCTAGAAAGGACTAAGTCAGTGGTTTTTACAATCTTTGCTCCCCTTTCTTAGATTTCCAGGGAAAGCTACAAATGTGTTATTCTTGGAGAAGTACATATTTCTTTTTAATTATAAAAAGTATAGTATAGGCAGCATGTCACAGCTTTCACAGAGAGGAGAACATGATTCTGGCTGATGAAGCCTGATCCCAGGAAGTACTCTTTGGAATATGCCTATCACGAAATCCAAGTTCCTCTATATGATGATCAGGTCCATGGCTACAGTTTTTACACAATCATTTGAAGGACTAACTTGAAAGACATATAATAAAGGCAAATTTTCCTTATCAAGAAAACATGCTGGTATAAAGAGCCAGAATATTTATCACTTGGAATTTGATTTCCTTTTAGCTATCACATCCCTTGGAACAAAGTGAACAAGGTGTTAAGATCTTTCTTCATATCCTGTTAGGAAACTGGTTCCCATAGGCAAATCATTCTCCTTGGATCCCAGTTACAAAGAAATGATGGGCCCAGTCTGAGTATTATTGCAAGTTTCAGGTAAGACCAAAGATGCAGCCTTAGCTTCTCAGCTTACTGGCCAAGTGTTCTCAAAAATCCCCCTTTCTCACACCGAGTCTCTTTCCCCATCTGTAAAGGGGGACTGCCAACAAGGGTATAAATACACTAATTTAAAACAAGAGCCCAGAGCTCATGCCTGCAAGGGACCCACCGAGTATCAACTTTCATCCCCACTTCTGGACATTCTGAGGACTGTTCCTGTGAGTGTGCTTCTGTCCAGCATCAGAGAGGGCCCAGTGTTCTTGGTTTCAGCAAGGGCTGGTGCACATTTGGGCTGAAGCTCAGACTGTTTGTGCCCTGTGCCTGCCTGGAACATCTGGGATGGCAAATAGGACCAGGAATGTGATAGTAAACAACTACTTTGGCCTTCTCAATATACAGCAGTGTGAGCACCAGACTCTGGCCCAGCCTGGCCAGGCCCAGGTTATGGAGGCCATATATTGTTGACCCATTGGAAGGGCATCAGATACTTCCTGAAAAATCCCAAGGGCTGTTTATGGAGCTGAAATTTGGTAGTGATCAAGGTTTCAACAGATTCTCCCTGTTTGATCTGCCAGTCATTACTTTTGAGTGTTAAGAGGTTGAGTTTTTGCAGGGGGGAATGGTCACTGTTCCTGCTTCCTGGTGCCTTTTGTGTGTGTAGAATACAATACAACTTTATGAGAATTTCTAGTGGGAAATAAACTCATAAGGCAGCCACCCTAAACCCACACATAAGATCTGATGGGTTTTGTCCATGTGCATATTACATATAATCATCTTCCATATATAGCTTTAAACTCAACTGTTCATTTCATAAACACTTTTCACGTTCTTAAGAATTTTCATTATTCCATCAAGCTACAGAACCATAATTTAACTTACTATTTCACTGCAGGTATTTCTGCTATTATAGTTAACATTATAATAAAATCTTTCTGTATTGGGCTTTTTCTCTTGTAGAAAAGTATTTTTTAGAGATAAATGGTGAGGGACAGGGGTAGGGTTACTGCATAAATGGGTCTGAATATTTTTATGGCTCCTGATTCACATTGCTGTATTGCCTTTTTGGAAGGACTGACATCTTTTCAACACCACCAGCAATATGTGATTTTACTAGTTCAGCCATAGCCTTGTGAAGCAGTGGGTATGAATTTTTAAAATTTATTTTTCAAACTAATAAGTGGAAAATGGCAATTTGCTTATTGTACCCTTAATGCCTTTGTACATTCACAAGGCCTTTGACAGTGATCTTGATAAGTACCTTGTATAAATCCTCCTCAATGGGAATTTATAACAAAGACCAGGAGCTGCGGCAGGCAGCAGGAGAGCAGGACAAGTTGAAGAAGACAGCCAGTGCTGCTTGGTGGCGTGGGATACTTCTAAGCATTTCATTCCTACTTTTCTTTCCAGCCCTTGGGATTGAATTGGTTTGCTTATACAGCTGTATCCCAACAAGACGACTCTTTCTCTGTACTGAATCCTTTCCTCTGGTTCGACAGATACTAGAGTATAGTCAGCTCACTTCTAGATTCTTCATACCAATCCAGGTAACTCTGGAAACCATAAAAGTCACTCAGAATATTGCTCAATCATTCACAGTTGAGGCACCTCAACTGCCCAAGGACAGGCCCCTAGAGAAAGAGCAACAGAATCCTAGGGAGCTTGCTCCAACAACCTGCATGTACAAGAGGAGCCGACACCTGCCTGCCATGAGACCTCTGGCACAATCACCTCTCGGGTCTCCACAGTGTCTGCCCACAGGCACTCTCCGTGGGTCGCACACCACTGCAAGTGGCAGGCAAGAGCGGTACCGTCACCCCCAGTAACATACAGAAACAAGTCTGGAGCGAGGTGTCCTGCCTAAGGGGCCATGGCTGGACAGCTGCAGGGCAGGTGGGACATGGGGACTTGGCTAGCCCAATGGCTCTTTCACTTCACTCTGACAAAGCTGTTCCCTGAAAGGATCAATGCAGAGTCCTTTTCAGAGCCACCTGCTGAGGCTACTCCTGGGAGGACAGGAAGGTGGTCTTTTTCCCCATCTTTGTCCTGCTGGCTTCTCTTGCTGTGAGCTCCCTAACTGATGGACTGTATTGATTCCTGTTGGCCCGGGGTGGCTGCGTACTCTGCTGTGGCGCTCTCTCGCCTGCCTTGTGAGGCTACACAGCATCAAAGCTATGGTTTCTGGGAGACACCATGTGGACAGGGAGGAGGTCGGGCGGCTCTCAGGTCCCTGGCCGTGAGATCCTTACCTGATGAGGATGATGACGGAGGGCGTCTGGGCCATGGCACCGATCATGCTGCAGATGCACATCACGCACAGGAAGGTGAGGAAGGCCTCTTGGCACCCGGGACTGGGGCATTTTCCAGGAACCACAGTGGCATTCTCAGGGGCGATGGTGGTGAGGCATGCACAGCCTGTGAGATTCTGAAAGGGAAGCATTCAGCCCTTTAAACTGGGGTCTCCTCAGATTCCATAGCTGAACCCATCCATCAGCCAAACTGTCAGGACTAATTATGCATTCCATGGTGTTCCATTAATTAGGCCTGAATAAACGAGTTAGCTTTTTAAGGAGGCTGCAAAAACACATGCAAATAAAGGAATATTTATGGGGAGGAGAGCTGATTTTCCTGTCTCCCGTGTGTTTCATTTCCATTCTCAAGAATCCCTTAATAAGCTCCACCGTAGACAAATGTGTCCCCCCCAATACAATTAGAGAGGAAATCGTGCTTCCACAATATGATAAAACATTGCCAAATTAACATTGTAATTACTTGCCAATTTGTCTCCTCTTTTATGCAGTTATAATTACATTGAAATGTATTAAAAGAAGTAAATCAGGTAACCCACATATGGTTGCTGGTTCAGTGCCTGACGTGGCACTCGGGACAAAGGATGTGCACATCATGCAAGAAGCCACTGTGCCCAGGGGGCTTCGAGAGGACAGAGCTGATGGAAAAGTACTCCAGTGGCTGAGAAAGCAAAGAGGGCTAAGAGATTCCAAGTGGCTTAGAGCAGAGCGGCTTGTGGGGAGCAGAGAGAAAGCCTGGCGAGACACACTCATTAATATATGATCAGAGAGGGGAAAGAGAAGCGATGGCATTCCCTTTGATCTTCCTGAACCGAAGGCCCTGTTGCACATTCCCAGGCTCGGTCCTCCTCCACACTCCAGGCTCACTCGCTCCAGGAATCTCTGATGGCAAAGGGAGGAGGGGCTGGAAGAGGCTGAGCCTAGTGCCAAGCCAATTAAGGTTCGATAATAATAGTGCAGAGGCCTTTAATGAATACAAAGTGAAAACAGTCATAAATGATTCATTGCTTTCCTCCCCCAGACTGATCGGCTTTCCAAGCACATGCACAGGTAAATCCTCCTGGAGGCTGAACAAATCCCCTTGGGCTTTTAGGCTTCTCCTCCTCTGCCCTTCTCCCTCCCCCATCTCCTTCTCTTTCCCTTTGCAAGATGACTTCAGGAGTACCCCAAGCCTTGTGTGTTCCCACTCCCGAGGGGCTGTGCCCCATGTGGGGTTTGAATCTGCAGGGAGGAAATGGGGCCACACACTGTCTGCACCCTCCTCCTCCTCAGTGGTCTGTCTAGGGCAGGCATCTTGGTGGAAATAGCCCTGTTGCATACCTGGGACACTAATGGTAATTCTCAGCCACCAAGGACCAACCCCTCTCCTTTTTCCCCTCTAGATTTCCTAGCTCTCTCATAAAGCCCAGCACAGATACTGCCTTCTGTCTGAGGCCTCTTCTGGCTCAGCTGTTCCTTTCTGTCTTCCGGAGGCTCCTTTGAGGGTCACACTCCACCCCCCACTGCAGAGACCCCTACCTGCCTCCCGGAGGGAGGAAAATTGTTGGACAAGAATCTCTGGGCCAGGACTCCCCTGCTTTGTACTTCCTCTCCTGAGCACCTTTTCCTGGCACGGTGCTGAGTAGTAGTAGGTGAAATGCAGCAAAGAGTTTTGGATACACAGGTATTCGAGTCTGCCTCTGCCTTGATTAGGAAGCTAGACTTCTCCCTACTCTAAGGTAAAACGGCACTCCTCCAAGCCCCAACCTCACCGACATCAAGGGCCAAACTCTTAGAGCTGCTGGCCTCACTGCCTGCGTTTCCTCATTGCCTGGCTTGCAGCTCACCCCAGCTGGCTTCTGTCCCCACATGTACTAAGTTCTCAGGGGGCTGCATGTCCCCTATCCCATCATCTTCTGCTGTAACTGTCACTGTCACCGGAGCTCTGGTCCATGGTCCATTCTTTGGCTCCATTGCTCTGCTCTCCCGGTTCCCTTTTCTCTCTCCTTATCCATCTTTCTTGCTGGCACCTTCTCCCCTTTCTTACTCTAAAATGCTTCAGCTGCTCAGGACTTTCTGCTCCTCTTTCCCTAGGTCTCCTTTGCTTATCAACCTTGCTCATGACTCCCCGAGACTGACCCACTTGCCTGTTTCCCTTTGGGATTATGTGACAGCCTTTCCTGACACATGAGTGCATTGAGGGAGCAAACTGAACCCGACTGGTCAGCTGGCACCACTCTCCTGAGGCTGGGAGCTGGATTTCCCTTTCCTGGATGGATGACTGTGGGACAGGAGGAGGATGTGGAGAAATTTAGAAAGTAGGAGTTGTAGGAGATCAGAATATCCCATCTCAAAATACGCCTTATCTGGAGAAATTAAAGATATAGAAGAAGCTCTGACAACAGAGAGATTACTGTTTCTTTAAAAAGAAATTCACATTTACAGTCAGTGGTCCCTTCACATCCAAGGAAGACTGGGTTGCAGGCCTCCCAAACATAACAAAATCCAAGGATGCTCAAGCCCCTTCTATAACATGGTGTAGTAGTATTTGCACAGAACCTATGTGTCATATCATCTCTAGGTGACAATAATACCTGACACAATATAAATGTATTATAATTTCCATAACTGTTAGGCTGTATTGTTTAGGGAATAAAGCCAAGGGAAAAAATTCTGTGCATGTTCAGTACAGATGCAATTTCTTCTCCCGAAAAATTTCAGTCTGTGGTTGGTTGAAGTCACAGATGTGGACCCCATAAAAATGAGGTCCAACTATATAAAAGGGAATCTTGTTTCTTCATTTTTTGAAATAAGACATGAAGTGTTGTTTAAGCTGGCTTCAAACGCCTGGGTTCAAGTGATGCCTCTGTCTCAAGCTCTGGAGCAGCTGGGACTACAGGTGTGTGCCTTTCTCCTGGCTCGGGGATCTTGATTTGAGGGGTGTTACCTCTCTGTCACAGGAAGAGAAGCATGACTCAGGCTACCACAGACTTTCTGTGGAGAAAGAGGCCACCTACACTTGCATAACAGGCCTCTCTTGCTGATGATCCTTTTTCTGGTTACCTGCCTATAAATGGCCTCTGCCCCGCACTTCAGTTCTTTGTTTTGGCAGACGATGGTTTTCAGCCTACATCCAAAGCTGCCTCTTTGAGATTCATTCATCTTTCTGGAGGTACACAAGTTACTAAACTTGCTTGTTCTTCTCTTGTTAGTCTGTCCTGTTACAGGCATCTGTCCCAGCTAAGAACTATGATGCTCTGAGAGGTAATCAGTTTCCCTTCCCTACAAAGTGAAGCAGAGGCCACTAAAAAGGCCATACCAGCAGGCGAGGGGCTGGATGTTCTGAAAGTGACTAGAAGGTTCTGTCTGCCCCCACGGTGCATCCCTACTGACCAACAGAGGCCCCATGCCCACCTCGAGTGACCTGGTTCCCAGCTCTCTCTCGAGGAGTTCTGGTCCTGCTGAGCAGCCACATACACACACACACTCAGCTTCTTGGGCTCCTCCCACGAGCTCTGACTTGCCCACTTTGCTCCCTCATCTCCCTCCTCCCAGACCTCACTCTCCAGCTTCTCCAGGTTCACATCAGCTCTGTTCCCTAATGAAGCCCTTTCTCTTCAAAACATGTGTGGTCAGAGGGCTGCCCCACCCCCAAGACCCAAGATCCTTTCCTCCTAGCTCTCGTCTCGGTAATGGCACTCGATGGACTTGCTAGAAACTAGGAGGTAATTCTGACACCCCTACATCTACACCAAATTGTTCCTCTTGGCCCTAAGGCTAATGAGGACAGAGACCACTGCAGTTCTGCTGTCTAACTCATCTCCAGCTGTACAAGGCAGGGTGTGGTTCATAACAGGGATTCACTAAGTATTTTGAACACAAACACATGCCCTTTCGTTTTACAGAATCCTAAGAATGTCTCCAACAATGCCCCAGTTTAAACCATTCCGCCGTCCTCCCTTTGATCACTGCAGTAGCCTGGGAGGAAAGACACTTGGTCCTGGGGTCCTAAACCACATGTACTCAAAGAGCACCCAGTTATAAAGATGGAACAGGGCCCTCTGGGAGGCTGTGGTTGTGTTTGCACTAGTACCCCAGGGACTGAGTTCTGACACATACAGCCTCTCAGGAGCACTTAGGAGTAGGACCTGGGTACTGGAACTCAGTGATCAGAGAACAATCAGGAGATGTCAGAAGCTGAGATGCCTGCTCTCACCCCATTAAGCCAGCACCCAGAGCAGAGGCTTGTGGACCTCTGTGGCCTGAGAAGTGGCAGTCCCTGGCAGATTCCATGATGGCTAACTTTTAGGAATGTGCATTAGACTCCAAGTTCCTTTATGGTCCCTGAGCTGGCAATGACCTATTTCCCATCCTTGTTTCTAGGCTATGTGTTCACAGAGGCAGGGCTGGACTCTCTGCCCGGCATCATGTCTTAGGAGGGCAGGATCTAGCTTTCCTGTGAAGAACATGTGCTATGTCCCCTCACATGGGTGATCAGACAACTGTGGTGCCCTCAGAAGAGGCCCAAAAAGCTGGCTGACCAAGAGGAGAGGGGGCCTGGTGTGCCAAGTCCACAAGAACTTATCCAACAAGGAGGCTTGCCTAGCATAAAGTGGCGCAGGTACACTGGGAGTCACAGCGCGATTTGTAAGAGCTCAGGTTGTTCAGTAATCAGCTCATCACGCTCTGGTTAAAGAGATTCAAGTAAGCCCACATGAGGGGAAGGAAGATCATGCAGCTATCAGAAAGGTCAGACAGAACTCTCTGGATAACACTGAAAGAACTCCAAGGTAAGCGAGTAACTACAGGTCGTAAACCAGGTGAGAAGATGTGCAGTAAAAAAAATACAAAAATCTGAAATCTAAAATCTGAAACTTTTGCAGCACTGCCATGACAAAAATGTCACACGTAACCTCATGTGATGGCTCATGGTCAAAACCCAGGTGCTCAGCACACACTGTCTTCGGCATCCCCAAGGGAACAAAAGGCTCTCCCAGTCCCCATCAGCTATAATATCTCATGACTATCTCATGCACGTGCAAATACTTTAAAATCAGAAAAAAATCCTAAATCTGAAGTTTCAAAGAAGAGATTTTGGATAAGGGACACTGTATAAGAAACCAATGATGATAACATT